ACTGCAGTGGGACCACTGGCGGGAACTGGAAGCTGTGTGGTGGGAGGCAGGTGAGGGGCAGCGATGCCCAGGAGGTGCTGGCTGAGCATGGCATGCCAAGCTGGCTACCAACATACCTCGGTGTCACCAGGTGCCTCTGGGGGGGTCTGCGCCCTTGCCAACATCCTGGGATCTCCGCTGTGCCAGCTGGACCGCCTGTGCCGCGAGGGTCGCGGGCAGGAGGCCCGTGACCTGCAGCACCGGCTCATTGAGCCTAACACGGCGGTGAGTGAGCAGAACCCCCCAGGATGCCGCAGGAGAGCTGGGGGGCCATGAAAGATGGAGGTCCTTGGGGGTGGCCTGGGAGGATGGGATGGTGCAGCACTTGGCTGGCAAGCCAAGCTGAGCTGGAAGAGGCAGGGTGGGAAATGCCAGCCCTGCCACGCCGGGAACAGCGTGTTTGCTGGATGTAGGTCCCTACCTGACCTGCTGTGGAAGCCTTGCTGGCTCTTTATAGGCAGTGATGGGAGAAACCGCTGCGCTGGTGCAGGAGACCATGAAGCAGGCTGCGCTGTCCCATGGGAGCTGGCCAGCCTCTGTGCTCTTGCTCCTGCAGGTCACCCGCCGGTTTGGGATTCCAGGACTGAAGAAGGCCATGGAGTGGTTTGGCTACTACGGAGGTCCCTGCCGTGCACCCCTGGCCCCACTGAGCCCCACCCAGGTTGAGGAGCTGAGGAGCACCTTCAGCACCAATGGCTGGTTGTGAGGGGTCCTCTCCCTGCCCCTTCCCACACTGGGAATGCATGAGAGCCAGCAACCTTAGCAGCTGGAGACATGGTGGAGATGTGGCCAGGAGAAAGACACCCATCTTGCTCCTTCCTCCTGGACAGGGCTGCCCTGGGTGGAGCAGGTGAGGGGGACATCCAGCACCCTCTGGCCACCCTTGTGTCCCCTGTCCTGAACATGCACTTGGCCTCAACAGCACCCAGGGTCCTGCTGTACCCACCTGGGAATGGATGGACCCTGGTGCTGTGAGCCAGGAATAAACCTGCTGCCGCGTCTCTGTGTATGCAGTCATAGAATGGTTTGAGTTGGGACAGACTTTAAGGATGATCTAGTTCCAAACCCCCTGCCATGGGCAAAGACACCTCCCATTAGACCAGGTTATTCAAAGCCTCATCCAACCTGGCCTTGAACACTTTCAGGGAGGGGGCTTCCAAAACTTCCCTGGGCACCCTGTTCCAGTGAGTCATCACCCTCATAGTAAAGAACTTCTTCTTAATGTCTAATCTAAATCTACCCTGCTCTAAGTTTAGAACCATTGTCCTTTGTCCTATGGTCACATGCCCTTGCAAAAAGTCCCTTCCAGGTTCCCTGTAGCCCCCTTCAGGTACTGGAAGCCTGCTATAAGGTCTCCCCAGAGCTTTCTCTCCAGGCTGAACAACCGCAACCTTCTCAGCCTGTCCTCGCAGGAGAGGTGCTCCAGCCCTCTGATCATCTTTGTGGACCTCTTCTGGACCTACTTCAACAGATCCATGTCCTTCTTGTGTCGAGGGCTCCAGAGCTGAACACAGAACTCTAGGTGGGGTCTTACAAGGGCAGAACAGAGGAGCAGACTCACCTCCCTCGACCTGCTGGCCAGACTTCTTTTGATGCAGCCTGGGACACAGTTGGCTTTTTGCACTGCCAGCGCACATTGCCAGCTCACTATGAGTGCCTCATCAACCAGTCCTGCCTGCACAAGGAGCCCCCTCCCAGTCCTTGCTCCCAGCAAAAAGGACACAGACTGAACGTTTGGCAACGTGGTTTACTCAGCTGAGGCCCGCGCAGGCAGCAGCACAAGGCAGGGTCACGGCAAGGCACGGGACCAGTGTGGACAGTGACTGGCAGGGAGGGCACAGCCCCTGCAGCCCACCACTAAAAAGGCTGCCGGGACCCCCATGCCATGGTCAGCCAGACCACACCACAGTGAAGGTGGGCACACAGCGGGGAGATGAAGGATGCATGCAGGGCACAAGAGGGGGAGCTGTGTGTCCCCTGCTTCCCCCCCCGCTATGCCCCTCCCACTGCCCACCCTGCCCAGGCCCTCTGCTCCAGCCCTGGCACCACATGCAGCCCTTCTTGTGCCCCTCCTCCCAGACTCCAGACAACACTGCTCCTTGCTCGCCATCACTCCTGCCCTCTCCCAGCATGCAGCAGACACAGGCCAGTTTGGGCATCTCCTGGTCCCCCTTGGTGGGGATGCTGCTGCAGATGTCCCCAAGGCAGTGGAGTGGCTGGGGATTGGTACAGGGAAGAGGGGGACACAGCTCACCAGCTGGCACTG